ATTATTCCAAGTAGAGGCAGCCTGCTAAAAATAAAGTGGGAATATCCACTCTGATAAGCAAAACATTCTCCTTTCGATGATTGGATACCATGCTCATATATATTCATTGACATTGTTCACAAATTGTCTGCGTTATCTAAAGCAACCAGATACAAATAGAAAGAAGGTGGTCACATTAGTCGGAAACACTTCAGTGTTTTTGTGTTGAATAATGAAACAAGTGTGTGAGATGCCATTTTTTGGAGACACACCTGGAAATTGATTTGGAGCTGTCAGTGAGTTGGAAATCATTTTCTTTTTTTTTTTCCTTTTAAAAAAGCACCTCTGTGATGATATTGCTGCTCTGAAGAAAAATCTGGAAAATAAGCTCTTCAAAAAGTTTTACTCATTTTTTGCTGCTGTAAATTATGTAGATATGTTAATGTTTAAGAATGAACTGTAAAATGAAATCACTGCATTTAATTCCTGAGTCTGAACATTGCTGTAAGATGTAAGTACTGGTATCTTCTTATTTCTTCGTGGCATTTAAATTTAGTCTTCTTTTGCAAAAATCCAAACAGTAGTAGTTTATGGCATTACTTTAGGGAAGTTTTAGCATTGTTCTGATTTCATGTTTCTCCTTGAAAATGTTGCCTGTGTTATAAAATTCTTTGTATTCACACAAAGGGGGATTGAGCTCTCCAGTTTGTTTTTATCTTTTTCATTTACAGGTCCCTTTTGGTTTCTCTGTGTTTATACATTCCATGGGAAGAGTCTAGATATTTCTTTGTTAGGAGGAAAACTTCAATAGATTTCAGAATTGCTGAGAAATTTTAAAAGCATCCTTGATAAAATAGCGCACACAATATGTGCGTCCTGTTTTCAAAGGGGGGTGTAACTTGTTGATACTTTTGAATAGAGGAACAATAGTGTACACACACACACATACACACACACACACACACTCTTAACTTGACTTTTTTGACAAAGATACATTACAAGCAATGTTTGTTTTTCCTCAAGCAAGTAGAGGTATCCACTTCCTACAATATTTCATATACCCTAGCTGGAGCATACACCCCACCATTGTTTATATTGCAGGTCCTTGTAGTACTCCTGGAAATGGAAGCAGTGTGTTGCATGGTGTGTGCTATTTTATCTCTATGCTAAATAGGAATGCTCTGTCATTGGAAATAATTGATAGAAGAACTGAACACAACTGGAAGAAGGGCAGTTAGTGGAGGGAGTATATTCGACTTCCCAACTCAGCTGGCACACTTATAGACTAAGGCGCTTGAACAGATAGTGTGAAATCCAATACTCCATTGAAGTTATTGGCCACGATCTTATTGATATAAGTGGGGCCAAGACTTCATACATAGGTGCAGGTGTAATGCAAGTTGATTTGGAGTTCAGGGTTTCACATAGCTCTTTTAAAAAGTAGGCATATAGTAGATGTTCCTAACACACTATGACAGGTCTGGAATTATGTTAAGTTAAAATGATGTGTGCCTAAATTTGTACACGTATAATAAATTAAAAGAGCTTGAATTCATTACACATCAATGTTTCTATTGTGCATTCAAGGAGCTTGAACTCTAGTTTTACTTTATGTACAATGTATCATGGATCATGTATGTTATATGTTACATCAGGTAAAATACTGAGACATGAGAGTTTTATATATGGAAGGAAAGAAAGTTTTAAATGTGAATTTCCTTACTTGTATAGTTTAGCTAACATTTAAAGTTATGAAGTAATTACTTTTTTTCTGGATGTCAGGGGCACAGTACCAATTCTGGGTATATCTGCACAAGTCACCTCAGTGATAATTACAGATCATCCAGATATACCCAAGCTAGGTTTAAATCAGCTGGCTCAAGTACTGCTGGCACTGTAGCTGTAGCAGCATGGAGCTCAGCACTGGCTAGCTGCCCAAGTACTTATGTATCATGATTTTGCAGTCGACACTAACTATACTATCCCCTATGTGGATACTGATTTTAAGGATCCTAATACTGCATTCAGTGGCATCCATTTGAGGGAAAATCGCTATGTACCAAGTGTAAATTAAGGTATGCTTCTTTTTTCTTGGTGCTTATGCCCCTATGCTTGACCTTGATATTGCTGTAAATTGAAGTAATTTAGTGACTGCCACATGACCAATTTAGTGTTATTTTATCTGGGTTTTCTACCAGTCTTCTTAAAAAATATAACAGAAGGCTGAATTCTTACTTGTAATTCCTGATTTTGAAAAGCTCAGGGGTAAAAGGCTGCTTGTTTCACTTAAATACATAATGTTTCAGAAGTACTTAGAGTACTACAAAGATGTTATTATTTCTCCCTTGAGTACTTGTCCACAGATGCACATTTTCACCAGTAGATGTGCCTTAGATGCTTTAAATGCCTGTTCAGATTCCTTCCCCAAGTAAGAGACTCATTTCCACAAAAGGATCAGAGTTTGTCTCACATCCCTAATGAGTCTGTGGTAGTGTTCCTTCCTCCCTCTTTCCATGAAAACAGCTTTTTTATAGCATTTATGTCAACAGGGATGGAAGACGAGATCCAGGCACTTATGACAGATCTGCTTTCCCAGCACCTTCTTCCCAGAGAAGGGGATGGTAAAACTCATGTTCAAGTCAAGGTTTCACTTGGGAAAGCATGTTAACTTGCTGTTGTTCTTCCTGAGGTCCCATCCATCATAAGCAGAAGCTTTGCTACACTCACTGGATGTTAAGAGTGCTTTGATCTGTAACTTTTATAGGACCAAGCTGTTCTGTTGTTCAACAAGGTTTTAAGAAAAGTCTGGAGGTAAAACATGATGTCTACAAATCTTCAGCATACGTTTAATTTGTTTGGGCACCTCAGAACAATTCTTCAATACTGGTGATCTAAAAGCTTTGTTCTATTTTCCCTTCATATGTCACAGCCTAATTGATAATACTTTCACCTTTCCCACTGCTATGTTCTATAAACAATTTAGTGTTAATGAAAATGTCCTTGGGCAGCTGTTCAGAAAGTCTCTGCATTGTTTTGTATCAGAACATCTAAAGATGCAGTGATATCTGTCCAAAAGTTGTCAGACTTGATTTTGGGTTTTGGAAAACTATGCTAGAAGCCTACCACAGTCCAGGCAGTATTCCTGTTTCATGTCTTCATAAGTGACATCTGAAATGCCATCAGTTGGAGAATTAATCAGACTTTAGCGAAAAAAAATGCTATTTTAGAAACTTGTAGGGCAGGTAACATGATTGGCAGGTAACATGATCCTACAATTGCTGTTCAACTAAGGGTTCTGTGAAACCCATCAGCAAGTTGGTGGGCACTGCTTTGGACCCACCCTCTAATTTTTGTGGACAGTTGCTCAAAAGAGAAAAAAATAAGCATTTACCAGTAACTGGAGTTCTTCGACATGTTTTGTCCACATACACATCCTTCCTCTTTTCCTTGGAGTCAACTTGGTATAAAACTCCATGGTTGAGAGGATACTGAGGAACTGAAATCATGCACTGCCCTTTATCCCATTGGGACTGACCTAGTGCATACTCAATGGATGAGTATGCACTTTTTAAGGCAAAAAGTCTTCTGTCAGAGGTCAGTGGGCATGAGATATGCCTCCAAGTAAGAATGTGTCTATGCATAATACAGCTTGAGGAAATCAAGTTCCTCTGTTTTATATATACTGTATGTACTTATTGTGTCTGAAGCTGGGAACAGTACAGTTATTTTACAAAGTCAATATGACTAATTTCTTTTCACTGATTCATTATCTTTAAGCACAGTTGGCAACCTTGTGACCGGTCCATTCACATGCAGTGTTTAGAGGTATAGTCTTAGAAAGAACATTCTGGGGTCTTATTCCTTTACTGTATATTATCCCAGCCATAAGAGACTGTTCAGACTGCTTTAAGCTATTGTTTTTCATTCAAACAACTCATGGACCTTTGTTTGCCCTTAGCACAAAGTAAAATTCCAAAATATGTTTTTTGAATCCTACCTCATTCCAGTGCTTAAGTTTAGATATTTCATTTGGTTCCTAGATATGGTTCCTATGGCTTCTATATAAAGAAAGTATCCAGTCCCAAAATTAGCATCCAGATCCAAATTAATTCCAAATCATCTTGTCTGCAAATTTAAAGAGCATTGCTGGATGTTGGTTTGGACTTATCTCTGATTCACAGGGACTATGACAAAGGTCATGGACTTCATGCTGAGAATTCAATTACACTGTTAAATACAATGGTAGATTTGAGAGGAGAATTTGAACTACCTGGGAATTTATTAAGTGTTTTTTGTTTAAAAAAAAAAGGCAGTTTGTAGAAATCAAAACTTTCTTCATCAAGTATAAATTTTGTTGAATGTTTTGACCCTGAAGAAATATTGGGAAAAATATAAATTGGCAATATATTTGATTTCTTTAGTCCCATAAGGAAAAATAAACAGTGTATTGTTTTGAAATAGCTTTTATTTTGAAAATTAACTCAATTATGGATAACATTTAAAAAAAAATTTTAAATGGTGGAAATCAAATAAAACATATCAATTTTATTTTAATGCTTTGATTAAACTATTTTTTTCTGATTGTCAGTTCCCTTTCTTTCTGTCTTTTCTAATTTCACTTTTTTGGCCAAATTGGGAATGAAAAAAAATTCTGAAAACTTAAAAAAATGAATGGAATGAAAAAAACAATGCTCTGATCAGATCTACTGAGATAACCTTAAAGTATAATGGTAATTTCTCCTGGAAGGCTCCTGAAAGTGGTTTAAAATATAATAAATGCAATGCTAATGGACACATTAAGCAAGTTTATTCATATGGTCACCTTCAAGCACTTATTGCTACTTTATTTTCAAGAAAATATTGTTCTTTTTCAATATTAAGGGGTGTCAAATCTGTAATAATGACTGTGTACCTTTGGGTACCGTCCAAGATGCTGTGCCATTGTCATGCTGCCAGTTTCTATGGTAACCACAGACCTGTAACATGCATGCGTGTGTGATTGTATTTTGTTCTCCTTATAGATGGAGGAGATAAAATTTAAAGACAGAGCAGTCTACGTGCTGGAAAGAGAGTTAGGGGTTCAAGCCGGGCATGCTCAGAGACTTCAGCTCCAAAAGGAGGCTTTAGATGAACAACTTTCCCAGATCAAAGAGTCTGATCGGCATCTGAGCAGCCCCAAACGGGAACTTCCTTATGCAAGTGGTGCAGGAGACGCTTCAGATCATTCAGGAAGCCCCGTAAGCACTTTCACGTGGTTTCACCTAAAAAAAAAGCAAGCAAAGAAACAAATAAAAAAAGATGACACGATCTTGATGAGTGCATATTCAAGCAACAGCTTTCCCATAGATGTACAGAGAAAACCAAGACATTTCTTCGCTTTCCCATAGATGTACAGAGAAAACCAAGATATTTTTTATAACACTGCTAATTTGGTAGCAAACATCTTTCAGACCTAAAATCAGATCAGACCATGGGAGAGCTTTTGCTTTTTTGTTTTGTTCTAACTTTGTTTCTTGTTTTTGTTTTCTCTGTTTCAGTTTTATGTTAGTAAGGTGGAATTTTCCATGTTTTAAATGTACTCACACTTCAACCACCTGCCTTAATTTGACAGTCTGACAATCTCTGCTGACAAATGATGCAAATGCATTTCTAACTCAGTAATGTATGTGTCCTAGTTTTCTAGGCTACTAACATGTATTGTAAACAAATGTACAAGTATAATTTGCAGAGGGAAATCAGTAAGATAATGCAATCAATAGCATGCAAGCTTATACGGTCCTGCTAGAACATCTCTGTTACTAATGGTTACATGCTTTTTGCTTTTTGCTTTCAACCAGTGGTCTAGGAAGTGAACTGAATGCCTACTAACCTATTATCTGCTGCTTTTTCTTACTATGCAATATACTAATGGCTTTAAATTTTAGTCACCCTTTTATATTGCCTTGTGTGTAACTATGCCACCCTGCTGCTTCTGCATTAATTTGCTAATATTAAAAAAACAGTTAATTGGCTTCATTTGTCTGTGATATATGCTAACTCTTTCATTGTTGATTCTCATCAAGATTTCTTTTGCAGCAATTCTTAATTTTCTTGGTAAAAGTTTAGATAATTGAGAACATATACAAAAATCTCTTTTATTCTTTCTTCAGAGCCTCTCCTGCACCTGTTGAATGAGGAATCTTAAACCTTCTGAAAGTTCCATTTAGGATTATGAATATTAATTTGCTCATTTTGATCAAAGTTCTGTTCTTGTTTCATCAAATATTAGGTTAAATGCCTGATAGACAAAACAAATCATAATTTGTTAACAAATGTAACTGCTCTTTGATTCTGAAAAATAAAAATATGTCTTCCTATATATTTGGTTTTGCTTACAATTTGATTGAAGCATTTTCATTTTTGATAGATTAAAGCACAGCCCTATATGTTTTATGCGTGACCCTCTAGAATCTAAACTAGGGCAACAACTTCATAGAAGTTGCAATAGTATAATTGCATGGCATTTGTACACTTATATTTCAGTATGTATAAATATCATTTCCCTCTAACAAAGTACTAAGAGTGGGTCACACATCTGAAACTCTCAGTTCAACAGTGGCATTTATTAGAAACATTGCCTTAGATTTCAATGTTTTCTTTCATAATTCCAAGTTTAACATTTGTGATTCTGTATTTGCATATACATACTTTGCATTTGCATACTTTGTTACATTTCTGCTCCCTTAACTTTCTGTTGATCTCATCATGCAGTTTTCAGTGATCAGTTCTACAAAGGCATAGATTACATTCTTCTACATAACAGATTAGAAATGTTTAGATTTTAAAAAGCTGGGGTTTTGGATTTTGTTTTTACATAGTTACCTATGAACAGTTATTTGCAGTTGATCTTTGTTTTAGGAACAGCAGTTGGATGAAAAGGATGCCCGTCGTTTCCAACTTAAAATTGCTGAGCTAAGTGCAATCATCAGGAAGCTGGAAGATCGGAATGCACTGCTGTCAGAAGAAAGAAATGAGCTTGTAAGTAGGAACTGCCATTAGTTTTTGGGAAATGAATGCTTATCAGAATTTGAGGTGGCAGATAAACACTCACTAGAGACAACACTGCACTCTTTTATCCTCCTTCACCTGGGGCCTATTGCAGAAAAAGTAGGACAATGACCTTCCTTTGGGAAGATTTGATCATTAGTTCGTTTTAGCTTCCGCTTGATTGCTAAGGAGTGATGGGGAACCTGCTGGGCTGTATAGAAGGCCTGAAAAGGAGAATGGATGTTCCTGATTATGTGGGAGCAAACATGCAGAAGATTCTTAGACGGTATCACCATGTGTATCAGGTGTTTCCAGGGGAGTGTACTGCAGGGTGTGGAGTCTTGGCAGCTGCAAACCTTTCAGTATTGTTCGTTCCCATCTTCCACAGATTTGCATGGGAGATCTTTCTCATTGCCCTAAGAGTAAAAGCCTTTGAAGTAGCTGTGACAGACCCCCAAGCCCATTTACAGTCAGATGCATCTTTAAGACACACTCCCAGGGGTGTTCTTACACCTTCAGGGGTGCCCTTCAGCCCCAGACCCTTCTCTGCTGCTTGACCACTGAGAACAGACTGAGGTGCTCCAAAGCTCACCTCCCTGACCTGGCACCTCAGCTTTATTTGCCTTACCTAGGTCTTGCCAGCTCTTTAACAGAGGGGATTTTGCCAGCTAGAAGGAACACACTTGTTTAGTTATGTGCTCAGAAAAGATAAATCCTGTCCCCCTCCTCCCCACTTTCTTGAAAGAGCCCTGCCTGTATGGTTAAACGCTCTTAAATCAAAGTTGTCTCTGACAGTAAGTGTGCTATAAAAGATAACAGAAAGATTTATTATAAAAACAACACCAAACACAAGAAATCACTAACCATATGTTGAGATAGACAGAGATATAAGAACAAATTAAATGAAATATCAGCACAATAACCTGATCTTACTCTTCATCTTAAACCAAGGAATAGAGCTTATACTCAACCTGCTAGCTGAGGTCCCAAAATGTTTCCCTGTGCCCAGCAATACCAAACACAAATACTTGCTCCATGCCAAGGATTAAACATGGTTTCTTACCTAGCCATTTACATACATTATCCATTGGATTCTTGGGAAGTCCAACAGGAAGTTCACAGTGTACCTGCCCCCGAATGTGTGTTTGCCCAATCAGAAGACTTTCCTGATCCAGTTATGACCAGGAAAATACCACAATGCATATAAATATAAGTATGATACAGTTGAATGTAGTCTAACACCACCTATCCATCGAGACCACACAGCCATAGCTGTAAAACCTCAAAAAATGATTCATGTTATCAGACAAACATCTCAAAATATTGTGGAGTTTGTCCCAGTAGCATTTGCTCTATAAGAAATTATCTTTGAGGGAAGGCACATGAGCAAGATAGTATGGAAGGGTGATGAGCAGTCTAGTGGTTTTTTAATCAATTGAACTGGAAACAGAACAGTTGCAACACTTTTTGGAGGGTAGCACCAAAATTATAAAGGGATACTCTCTAATCCGCTCCCTTTCGTCCCTCAAGCGTCTCTCTGAGAGTACTGGACCAAGGGGTATTTTGAAAGGGAGGAGAACGAAAAATCCACACTGATTTTGGGAAGGTACAAGAAAATCGAATTTCTGCAGTATAGTTTTACAATGCACTCACCCATCTGTTTACTACTGAGTCCTGCTGTAGTTCATCTTTTAGTCCTGAATGTATCTTGAATACAGCTTGGTTTAGCTCAATTAACAACCTAAAGTTCAGATGCTTATTCAAACATCAGAGATCTACAATATTGGGCTGGAAATGTCTTTAATTTTTTTTTGTGAGCTGTCTAACTTTTTGTTAGGCAACTTCTTTCAGAATGAAACACTGTGAGAAAAGGCTTAATATAATAAAATTAAGTGCTGCAGACTTTTACAGAGTCAGCTGAAAATTAAGGGTTGGAAAATGTTAAAATCAGTCATTCATTGTAATTATATTTATTATAATGAGGGATAAAAACTCATTGCCTGCTTCTAAGAGACAAGAGTCAGGTAGACATTTCTCAGTTTGCAGTTACAGTTTCACTCTGTTTTTTTGAATAATAGACCAAAATATGTTAAGTAAATTATGGGGCGGGGGGTCTCTGAAAAATCAGTCTTTTTGCCACTGTCATAATTTGGTTATTAGAGATGATTAAACAAGGGCCTGCAGAGAAAATATCATGCTCCTGTCTTGGAACTTCCACTTTGGTTTCAAAAACCAGGAAGCTAAGTGGCATTTGAAACTGAAGATGGGAAGAAAGGAAACATAAGACTATAAAACAAAATCAGAATCATGTTTGTTTCATGTGTTGGGAGTAAATTTGTGGTCTTCCATGTTTACCCAAATTATTTGCTCTTTCTGAAAATGTTTTTTGAGTTACAGGCATAATGCCATACCCGGAATATTACCACAGAAATGTTACTGAATGTGGGTATTTTGTGGATTGAAGACAACTCTGGTGTAATTTCACTGGATGCACAAATGTTATACCAGGGTTGAGAATGAGGGCAGTAAAACAGGATGCCTTGTAGGCTGAATTTATGAAGAACATTAGATCAGTAATGCCTGTAACCCGGCAATGCATGTAGAGTGTGCATATTACATAAGAAAATAAGTCTGGATATTTGATTGCTCGCATCCTTTTATGCCAGATAGTATTTCATTTTGTAATATGACATCACCAAAATATGTTTGTCTATAAAACAATGAAACAGTATTTTATATTTAAGGTGATGTTAGCTGGCATTTATTTTTCAGCATAGCCTTTCATTAAATACATCACCTAAGGGTATATTTTTTCCACAGTGTGCTCACACTGCACTCATTAATGGAAAAGGATGTCTCTCTCTCCCATTATACATTACTCATAGAGGATTGACAGATTTTAGGGTCAGAAAAAGTCCAGTGTAGCTTTGGGTTTGGTTATTATTAATGAACTTTAATAAGCCCCAAGAGAGACACTTTGGAGAGTCACATTATTATGTTGACCTCTACTTTAAGGCAGGGAAATAAAATAAACCCTAAGATCAGTGACCCTCCTCCTTATAGATAGGAGTCAATACCACTAATCCAGACTTCGCTTCCCTCACTCTCAAGGGACCAAGCAGAGAGAAGAACTTTCCCCCAATAATGTCACAAAAGAGCAAACAAAGCACACTCAAGTCCAGAACCTGCTGACAGAAAGAAAGAGAACAAAGGAAATAACAATATCTAATATCTGCTCTTCATAAGATTGGAAAATGCTCACATATCCTGGTGATGAGGATCACATAAGAAATGGTTCAATAGAAAAAATAGTCAAAAGCATCTTCAGTTAAGAGGAATGTGGTGGAAATTCATCAAGGGACTGATAAAAAACCACACTGATATCAGTGGAACAGGCCAAAAATTACTTATGTGATAGGGTTTGCCTGTTCTGCTTTGCATTTTTCAATCAGGAGTGTTTTCTATTATTGTTGTAGTGAAATTGACTTCTGTTTAATCATTTATATTGGTATGTGAGATAAATAAAAATCACATAGTGATATATATATTTTTAATATTTCAGTTAAAACGTCTGAGAGAAGCAGAAAGTCAATATAAACCCCTCCTGGATAAAAATAAACGACTCAGTAGGAAGAATGAAGATCTGTCACATGCCTTACGCCGAATGGAAAATAAATTGAAATTTGTAACACAAGAGAACATCGAAATGGTAGGCTTCTCTATTGGCATTGTCAGCTATAGCTCAACACTTGCAGTTTGGATCAATTCAGACGTTTAACAAAAATATCACCAAAACTTGCAAGACAGTAAACATATATTTTCATTTACTCCTAGTATTTTCCGAGCTGTTATGTTACTCATTACTAAGTGCCTCATGACTTTTATCTGTTTACAGCAGAAGTTCCAATAACCGAAAAATTGGTCAAAAAGAGTTTTCCTTTCAGGCACATCCCAATTTAGAAAATGTTTTACTTCAGCTCATCTTTTTTTATAATACTAACATATAATAAAATGCTACAATAAGGAAATCAGGTATGTTTCCTATATTTTGATTAAGATGAATAGTGCTTGATAGGTAAAATAGGAACACAAATTCTCTCACTTATGGTTTCTGTTTCAGAATGGCTTAACAATGATTTGGAAATTTGCATCTGTGACTTCTTAGTTTTTTTTAATTGATAATTGTTGATTTTTGGTAATTGAATGCAGAAGGACCAAAAACACTCAGCTGCCCTATATAGTTCCAGTTTCATGCAGCTAGAATTAAATAGAAATGATCCATAAAGAAAGAATGTTAGCCTGAGTCTCCTGCCTCTCTCAATATTCCTGCTTCAATAATATAAAACCACATGCACAGCATTCTGCCTACTTCTGGTGGAGCCAAACTTATGGTCTTTTTCAAAATGTTAACATCTGGTCTTGGTGGGCTATGAAAGGGCATGTAATAGTTACCATATTTACCCAGATCTAAGATGAGGTTCCCCCCCCCCCGCCATCAGCATGGAGGAAAAAAGCCCCTTATCTTAGATTCATGTTAAAAAGCGGGGTAAGGGGGGTGGGGTGGGGTGGGGACATGTGGCTGTTATGATTCTGGCCCTGAGCCTAAGTCATGGGCAGTGTCAGATCCACAGCAGCCTCCTACTCCACCTCTCCACTTGCCCTCTGCAGCTTCTGCCCCCTCTTCTCCCCCACCCCGCCACTTCCTTACTGTCAGGGGAATGGGTGCAGGGAAAGGGCAGAGAGTGTGAGGAGCTGGGAAGGGGGAGGTGGTTCAAGTAGCAGGGGAGCAGGGAGACTACAGTGGGAAGAACTGGGAGGAGGCACAGGGCAGACGGCCTGACCCCCCTTCCCCAGCCACTGCTTTCCCTTCTGTAGCTGGGGTGGGGAGAGGGAATGAATTTAAGATAGCCCTCCAATAATTAGATTCTATACCTAGAAAATTATAATAAATTTATACATTTTCCAGTTAGAGAATCTAATTTTGGGAGGGTCATCTTAAATCCAGGGTTGTCATACATTTGAGTAAATATAATATGTGGGCTGCCAGGTGATTCTGAGCAAGATACCTCCCTAATACCCTAGCATCTAGCTTCCTCTAGTTTGAAGAGCAACTTTGCTTCTTTATCCATATTTATTGTTTAAGAAAAGAGAAAGCATCACTCACCATTAGTTTGTTGATTATCTTAGACAAATTACTCATTGGAAAAAAGGAAGAATTATATATACTCTATTTTGGCAAAGTTAATTGTCTGCTATTTCTGCGTGTATTTTTTTTTAGAGGCAAAGAGCTGGGACAATAAGGAGACCGAGCTCTTTAAATGACCTTGACCATAGTCAAGAAGAAAGAGAAGTTGAATTTCTGAGACTACAAATTCTTGAACAGCAAAATATTATAGATGAACTCTCTAAGGTAAGGAACTCTCTAAGGTACAGGCTTTCTTGAATCTGGTGGCCTAGGTCATCACAAAAGAAAATAAAACCTTGAGCAACCAGGCATTATTTGTGTCAAACACAATGATGATGATTTCTGTGGACTTCCCTTTATAGCAATCTGTAGTAACTGAACTGAAACTAAGAGGATTCTGAAAGGACTTTATTTGAAAACAAACCCTTCAACAGCTTTGTATTTGCAGAAGGGGGCTTCACTCAGATATTGTGAGCCTCTAGTAAGCACTTTAATGACCATACTCTACTCCCATTGAAGTCTGTGACAAAAATTCTTTCCGACTACAATGGGAGCAAGATCAAGTCTAAACTACACAAGGGACTGTTTTTCTGCGTTCCATTGTTTGTAATGCTGCTGAGAGCTTTTAACATTTGTTTTCTTTCTCATGATTTTCCTTTTTGTGATTAGCAAAGATGAGGCTTCAGATCACTGGTGTGTTGGGGAGAAAATGATACCTTGACTGATTTCTTAAGCAAAAATACCCAACGCCCATACCAGAATGACAATGGAATATATGCTATTAGGGTTGGAGCATTATAATGGCTCTAAAAGTCTGGGACATATACAAGAGGTAAAGATTTTCTTAGTGATAGTTTTAATTGTACCAACTGTGCAGAAAGTGCTATTCAGTGTCTAAAAACTTGTTTAACATCTCCCCCAAATATACAGTTGGTCCAGTAAAAGGTATCACCAAATTTAGTGCCTTTCTGGAATTTATATCACCTCTGTGAGCCAGTGCTGTTTAAAGCAGTGGAAATTTAGTGAACTTACACTCTGTTTTTTCAAATTCAGGGTGCATTTCTAATCACCATTAGCTTCAGTGAGACGTTGCCACTAGGTTGAGAAATGTTTGTTCCAGAGAAAGAACATCTTCCTGGCTCTCTCAGGGCGTTGTTACACATTGCAGTATAGGCTTCTCAAATGTTGATTCATGTTAGTGCTTGTTTGAGTTCAGAGCAGTCGCACATTCAAGCTAAAACCCTTCTCTGACTGTTCCTGACCTGCATGGCTATGACTTGCCACTAAAGGGCTAGTGAGCAGGGGCCTGACTAGGAGCTTCAGCTGTGAGCTTCCACAAGAGGGTGGTGAGCTAGGATAGGCTTCTATCCCTGATCTACGTTGGGGTGGGTTGGAGAGATGGGCTGGTGGAGTCAGGAGCATGAGACTGGAAGGGAGAGAGTTTAATGATGGGGACTGGGAAATGGGAGGTTGATAGGCAGGGGGTGGGAACAGCAGCTGGGGCCTGGGTGCTGAAATGAAGTCAGCCACTGAAGCCACTAAGCAAGGGTGAGGGAATTATTTGGGCTGAAGGGTCACTTAGGGTGTTTTGGTGAGCTGTTGCAGGCTGATTTATTATCACCCGCTCTCCCCCCATGCCAGGTCAGCACCCCCCCACACACACACCCCCTCAACAGTTTCCCAAAACTCCCTAAGTGGCCCCTACAGGAAGGTTGTGTTTGACTAGGCAGAATGGGATGGGGCCGCAGGTGGGTGGGGAGTGGTGTCCAGGAGTGGGACAGGAGCAGGGGTGGGGCTGGGGCAAGGGCCAGGATCAGGATCTCAGGGTGGTGACATCACAGGGCCTAGTCCTGTAGCAGAGCCATGACCTGCTTCTCACATGATGGATTATGACCAGCCCAACATGGGAGGGAGATGGAGTCATGTACACCTTTGTCCCAGCCCCCATTTCATCCGCCCCAGCACAGGCACATGCAGGTAGCCCCAGTACAGTTCAGCTGCAGAGTGGTGTGACCCAGGAGCATGGGGTAGCCTAATCTGGTCATGATCCATTGGGGCCACTCAGCACTTCTGGGCTATGCCACTTTGTAGCTGCACTGTACTGGAGCCGCCCATGTACTCCTGTGCTGGGGTGGGAGTAGCGGGAGCTAGGTCATGGGCATACATTCCACCCCACTCCTGGGTCAAACCAGCCATGATCCTTCATGCAGGGAGCAGATCACAGCTCTGCCCCAGGCCCCAGCCCTCTGCTCTCACTGCCCTGAGATCCCAATCCTGATCCCAGTTCTGGCCCCAAACCCACCTGCCTGGTTGTCCTGCTCCTGGATACCAGTCCCCACCCACCCAGAGCCCCATCCCATGCACCCAGAAAAGCACAACCTGCCCCTGGGGGTCCTAGGCCAGTCTCCATGGAGACCCCACCCGCTCCATCTGGTGCCCCCAGTGGTGGGTGCAGGACAGATGGGCTGGGGTGCTGGGCAGAGGGGCTTCAGCTGGCAGCAGCAGTGATACTGGCAGTGGCAACTGGAAGGATCCACCACCACCAGGGCTGCCAGGAATCAGAGTCTAGCTGCTGTGCCACCCCAGCCCTAATGTGCACCTGGGCATGGCAGGACCAGCTGCACATGCCAGGGTGTGGGCTCCTCCCCAAGCCTGGACTGGACAAGGCCAAGGGACTCGCCATGGGGCAGATAACGTTTCTTGGCAGGCTGGATCTGGTCCATGGACCATATTTTGCCCACCCCTGCATGAAAGCATAAAATAAAAAGAATATTAAAAAGAATATGAAAAGAAATAAAGAGTAAGTAAATTCAAGAAAGTATCATGTTTTAATTAATTAAGATTAGAATGGGATTGGGTTGCCCTAGCTCATGGGGATACTGCCCCTGTCCCCAGAGGAAAGCCCCAGCTCACAGGGGCCTTGATCTGGCCCACTACCTTGCTCTCTCCTGTACCCATGCTACCCCTCCCTTCTGTACAGGTCTGTGCCCTTGCAAGCTGCCTGATCAGGTCACACCCCCAGGGGTGGAAGGAGTTGGCTTGGTGCCAGTGCCAGCCTCTGGGCAGTAGAGTTCAGGGGGTGGAGAGTTTGTCCACACAGAACAAGAGACTGGGGGCAGGGGACACAGCATCCTGGGATACTGGAGGACTGAAACTTGGGTGCCTTATCTTGGGGGAATGGCCACACCTTTGTGGAATACATGCAGGGTAAAACAGATCAGAGATAAACCTGCCCTGGAGTGGCATAACTTTAAGATGCCGAAAGGGTGCTTAAAACTAGTTTACACATCTTCATGGTGGTTAAGAGCTCCCTGAGTCATTTAAAATTAATGTGAACAAGGTCCTCAGTATTCAAAACACTAAGACGTATTCTTGGCAGGGGATAGGGCACTGTCATGTTGTAAAAGAAGCACACCTCTCCACTTCTACATCTCTCCTCTTAGATCCACTTGGTTTTCATCATTTTGCACATGGAAAGTTGGAAGTGATGTCTTGGCCCTAGAAGATCCCTATTCTCATATCAAAATTTGCATTGAAGCCAATGAAAGTATGTCTAAGCATGGATTGCAGACTCAGACATTGAATGTATTAAAAATATTCTTTGAAATGCTGATTAAAGCTCTTAGACTAGCAGCCACACAGGATGTTAATCGCACCAAGAGAAACAGCCTGATTCTCTTGGATTATCACATCCTCTATAGATTCTTTACAAAGTAAATGAAATTATTTTGTTTTTTTAAATATGGAATGGGCTATGCGATGAACCCATAATGCTTGAATCAGATCAAGAAAACTAATACAATTTTATATCCTTGCAGTTAATGACAATATCTATTTTTTTTTATTAGACTCTTGAAACTGCTGGCTATGTGAAGAGTGTAATAGTAAGTAATGTATATTAGTAATTTTGCCATGCTCATTTCTGCTATTTTCTGCAGCAGGCCTTGGGAATCATGCAGAACACATACGCCCTTTAATGTTTTCTTGTAATCATGATATGTTTCAAAGTAATATTTGTTAATGACTTTCATATTCATAGGTTATCTCAAGGTTCCTGTCACTACCAGCCCTGGGGAAAGCTCTAATGATAGTAGTCCCTTCAGTGGAAAGGGGGTTGGTTTATTGGAAAGGTGTTTTACCTTCTGCTCTACCTTGCACACAAAACAGTGCATCTTGAGAAGTCAAAATGGTTAGACTGCCTTCACAATTTCTAGTAAATTTACTTGGCAGCATTAGCAGTGGAACTGTTTTGGTTTGTAACAGTTTGGAGCCATCTTCTCAGCTGAAAGCAGAGAGACAGTTTCTGCCAATTTCGAATCTTGCTTTTTTCAGTGCAAGTGAAAACAGTCATATCCATTAATACTGGTGTGTTTAGAACCAGTGCCAGGGAACCTATCACTGCAGGCTCCCTTTGGCTTGTATAAAATACAGGTAATGTCTGCTAACTTTATCGATAATTTTTTTCACTGTTGTCAGTACAGAAGTTAAGAAAAAGTGAGTTATTCTGTCATCCAAAAAACTATTAGTATTCTGACTGCTCAATCTTCATCACAGATGATGATGTAAATGTCAGTAAGAATATATTATCTTTGTTTAGAATCATTTTAGGAAATTAATCAGCTAGAGAATAATTGGGGGGGGTTGTTTAATGTATATCACTTTAAAAATGTATATTGTTTTATGAGTATTGGGTCTTTTCTTTGTTAAAAACCCAGAATAATGTTTTTCCAAAAATCTGAAATATTAAGTGCCAGTACTATTAAATGTTTTATAATATTATAACTGCAAAAGCTCAAGCCTCATTTTCAAAAGGTATTAGCACTCACTAGTTTAATATCCCCTAAAGTCTAGAAGAGAAATGGCCTAGTAGAGAGAAAAGAGAATCTAGAATTTTGAAAAGGGCGTGCAAATGGTGTGGTGCATTATCACATCTAAAACAACATATCTTTTTCTCCAGTTAAAAGTAAACTAGAAGCTTTACTAATATGCTAAGGGCTATATTATTCAGTTTAAGGTCAAAGCAAAAACAAATCTAACTTCAATGGAATGAGGTAAAAATAATCTGCCAGGCCTTGAAATAGGAGCTTCTTTAGAAGATCAGCTAACAGCCAGCAGAATTGAGGAACAAAGGATAGCTTGATTGGTGGAACAGCAAGACCAGTAAAAAGAAGAGAGGATCATTAACACCCATGGAATGGAGAGTTTAGAAGGGGTCAGGTAGATTATAATGAGCCTTGAAGTCATCAGACTCCCTCCGCACTGCCCGATTAGAAATGCTGCTGCCACTGCCAGACAATTAGTTTTAAACGTTGGGGCTAGAGACAGAAGTTACACATAAACTGGTTTAAATGAGCAGAAGCTGGTTTAAACCTCTAAAAGAACATAAAGTGAGTGTACATAAACCAGTTTCAAAATGGCCAAAACTGGTTTAAAATAAACCTTGTTGAATGTAGTACCAGACTTAACTGATTTAGGTCAAACCAGTGTATGGAATTTCTGTCCCAGACCCCTTCCTGGTTTAAGTTAAATCAGAGTCCCCCAGCATCCCAGCATACTTCTCAGCCCTGGGCTGTGCTAGGCTGGGCTGTCTGCTCCAGAAAGCAGGGCTGGCTGGCCCCTCTCCTCCCTAGCCAGAGCTCTGGCTGGCTGAGAAGGAGAGGGTGAGCAAGCCTGCAGGCACGGCAGTGTGTGCCTGGCTGCCCCCTGCCCCCCCCCCCGCCACCACTCGCTGCTCAAGCAAGAATCCCTCCCCCCTCCCCTCCCCCACAGCACAGACCCCAGTGACACAGACCCCAGCCAGCATCTGGTCACGGTCACACCACCCCCATGCTAGTTATTGTCTGTGTGTGGGGGCTAATGCCTAGGTGTCTATGTCTGTGCGTCTCCAAATTAACTGGAACAAAGTGGACACAAACAGTGTGCACTTTGGGCTTTTTGGAGCTAATCAACTGTCAGCTAGTCAGCTGGTAATGTCCCTCTGTTCTTCCTTTTAAAATGCTTTGCAAATGCTGTTTAAGAAAAGCTTGAACTAATAAGAGAGAGGCTTTGTTTTCTTGATGAGCTTTGTGTTCTGATAAGCTCCCTGCTTTGCCTCAGAGTGCTAGCCGGGGGCCAGAGGCTTGGGTCTGGCAACACTCCCCACCCCTTGAGCAGCAATTGGTGGCGGGGGGGAGCCTGGTGAGGACTGCTTCCCCCTCCCCATCAGTCACATCCCAGATGGGGACTGTGCAGGCCAGGGTTGGGGTTTAAACCCCTTCTTAATCATCAGGGATCCTGGTTTTCCATTTCCCATGGAATAATAGAGTAAACTTCAGGTTTGCGATGAGCCCTCTGCAGGCTGCCAGAGTTTCATGGCTGCTGCCCAGCCGGCTAGTGTCTGGGCCTTGGGGCCCTGGGCCACAACGCACAGCTGCAGGGCTCTGGCGGGAGTGGAATGGGGCTGCAGGCAGCTTGTCCGGGGATGGGGGGGCAGGGATAGCTCCCCACTGTCACATGCACTCCTGAGGGGCAGGAGGGACCCACACTCCCCAGATCTGTGCATGGGGCAGGCTGCCCACTGTGGGTTTGGAGTGTGGGGAGGTGCTCCCTGCTGCTGCATGCATTCCCAGCGGGTAGGGGGGGCCTGTGCCCCCCAGATCTGTGCATGGGGTGGGGGCTGTGCGCTGCCCACTTCAGGTTTATGCTTCCTGCCCTGCTGCCCTTCCCCATGGCCTCTGTAGCCCAGTATGTGCAACCTGGTGCTGCAGGGAACAATGGAGCCATGCAGGAAGCTGCCTGCCGCTGCGAGCTCCAAGCTGCCTGCATCCCCTGCTCACATCTCTACACCACCACCCGTGCTGCAGCCACGTGCATGCAGGGGACACATCACCAGGGCAGAGTGGAATTTGCAGCAGCAGGCAGCTCCCTGCGCAACTCCACTGTTCTTTGCAGCACCGGGTTGCACACACCAGGCTGTGGAGGCCCTGGAGAAGGGCAGCAGAGTGGGAGCCCGCAGCAGGCAGCATGCAGCCCCTGCCCTGCGCACATATGTGGACTAGAGTAACCTGCAAAGATTGAATCAGTTCAGGCTCGGGCTTTTTGAATGCCTGTCCCTAGCCTGGGTGGACCAGGAATCAAACGGGTGCAAGTGCACCAATGCACCCCTGACCTGGGATCTGCCCCGGCTGAAACCATGTAACTGCAGCACTTGTGGATGTCTGGCCCTGAACGTTTCATACTAGAGATCACAACCTAGAGCCTATGGAGCCATCTGACCCAAACTGTGGGCATGGGGCTTCAGCAGTAGGCACTTTCCCATTCTGCTGTGGGGAAAAGCAGCAGTGGCAGCTGGGTACTAGTATTCAGCCACCCACCCACCCTGCCACCTGCCTCTGACCCAAACTGGGTCATGCTGGCCTATGGCCTTAAAAGGTTGCTGATTGCTGTTCTGTAGTAACAGGCTGATTCAACTTGTTCATGGCTCCAAATGCAAGTACAGAAGCTGCACGCACTTCCAAGCAAGAATTAGCTCTCACTTCTCAGTACCAGGAAGATATTCCATCTCTCAGAAAAAAGCTGTAACAAGGATCTAAATGAATGTTCTGTTGACAAATCAGCTGTGCAATTAGCCCCAGGATGTCAGTGTGAAGTATTGATTAGTCTGTCCTTAGCTGTCAGGATTCTCATATAATCAGGCAGTTGATACGTTCATATTGCACACTTGTTAGATTTCAAAGAGCCATTGGCACGTGACTGATGCTTATTTCTGTCTTTTCTTGCAGACTTTTACTGATATAAACGTTTATATTTTTGTTAATTTAAAGAATACATACGCTTATTCAGGGGTGTAGGTTGTAGCCGTGTTGGTCTAAGGACATAGGCAGACAAGGTTATGCAGTGCATGTAAGTGCTAACAGTGAAAATAGCTAACAAATAAACTAAATATATATTTTTTCCAGGAACGTGATAAGCTTTTAAGGTACAGGAAACAAAGGAAAAAAATGACAAAAATTCCTAAGGTAAGAGCAAAATGATTTAAAATGCTGATGCACATAACGTCTTTTGTGGTGAAGTTAGAGGGAGATAGTGTTCAGTATTATTGAAGGTGAGGATGAAATCCTGGCCCCACTGACTTCTGTTGACTTCAGTGGAAACACAGTAAGGAACCTAATATTGGGCATGTAAAAGCTGACACCTCATTAGAAGTGACTTTTGAAAATTGAAACTTAAGTCTGAGTTTATGTCAAGCAGTTCAAGAACAATCCTATATAGAGTTTTATGATTATTAAAAGAATAGTAAGACCTATTTTGTAGGTGGGGCACAGAAGAATGCCATAGCATTTTTCCCGTAATATTCATTAGTGATATTTAATCCACATACATTAGGAGGTAACTGTTTACATCTCGTATTATTAATACTTGACTATTTACATTTTAATATGCAAAGCTTAATTACTCTATGTAGTTTGAGTATCCCTCAGGAGTAACAAGATAGTCTGTGTAAAGAGTAGGCAGATTTTATGAATAAGAAAAAACTGAATTTAACTCATTTCTACAATAGTGTCTAAAACATGTGTAAGTAAATGTGTGTAAATAATTCATTATGGAATCTATCAGTGTGCATAAAATCGTTAGTTATAAACAGCAGCAGCATTTTAATTAATGCTCAGTGAGATGGAAGAAGGAAATGTTACATAGTCTGCACGATAGATAATTAATGGACTTGTGCAATGAGAGGATAAGGTGAAACATCAAGGAGCTGCCCTATGTTTTAAATGACGAAACAGGTCCTTGGTATGGTTACAGACGGTATAAGTCAGAGCAAACTATTCCCCCTGAGGCTTATGTAAAATCCAGTCCCTTACTACTGTAGCATACTAACCAATTCCCAGATTAATTCTTTGTGGCTATGCATGTTTAAATGGTCTAAATCTACGCTGGAAATGGTTTTAGCATATGAGAGATATTGAAATAATTTCCAATTGCAAAATGTAAAAATCTAAAAAACTTCAGTGAACCACAGATCAATATCATTTTGAAATGCTGATCCTTTTGAAATATTTTGTTTTAGTTTTTACTATTTTTAGTCGTTTATTTTTTCACTATAATTAACTTCAATTTTTAAAGGCAAAGTCATTGCAAACTGGAAATCTAGATTTTTTTTCATTTAAAAATGCTGAAAAGAAACTTTTAAAAAAATGTTACTTAATATTTTTCTCACAAAATGTTCAAGTAAAATGTTCTTCAAAATTAACCTTTTCTTACAAAAAGGTTCAGTTTAATAAGTCAATATTTTGACAGAAATACGTCATATCAGCTTTAATATGAAAACATACAGATGAATAAGGTTACTGGTGATCAGGCTGGGAAAAGTCTTTTAAAGGTAGTTTGCATATTTCTAGGGAATCTGCAATTGCACCTCTGGACTGAAGTGTAGACATAGCCTAAGGTAGCTGATTAAAACAAAGAGGAATGCAACTCTCTGAAAAGTATATCACTGTTTTGGTGAAGTGTGTGAAGTCCAAAATTAATCTTTTGGTGTATAAGCTAATACTGTTTTAAATCCGTTAGAGAAACCATGAGTGCATTTTTCAGACATTTTGAGAGGCCCAGCTTTGCTGTGTTTTTATATACATTTGTATTGTTTAGCTGTACTTACACATTGTCATTTGGTCAGAAGCCGGTGGTGGAGACATTTTTTGGCTATGATGAAGAAGCTTCCCTTGAGTCTGATGGTTCTTCTATCTCATATCAGACTGACAGAACAGATCAAACTCCTTGCACTCCTGATGATGACTTGGAAGAGGTATTTTCTCCCCATTCATCAAGTAGATGTGATCAAACTTCAATTTATGCTGCACTAATTTTATGCTTTTAATCGGAATTCCTAATCATGCTACTAAGCCATTTTACCACTCCTAATTGATATATCCGATGACAGAGACACTGATGTAGCCAAATGATTGTGAGCTTAATCCCGTCTTTGGAGGATAATACTTCTGTTGGTCTATCACACATGGCAAAGCCAGACACATCTAAATCTTATACCTCAGACCTTGGAATTTGATTATCTTTTAGAGCTAGGAAAGCTGCAAAGGCTATGCACATTTTAATTGTAATTTTAGCTGGGATTTTTCCTCTGGGTCTAACAGAAAAAGTCTACGTTCTCTAAATTGAATTTTCCAATCCTTAGCATTAAGAAATCAGCCAGGGCAATAGAAAGACTATAAGCACTTTTATTCCTTCTCTGACAGCCCAAGGCTGAATCGATTCAATCTTTGCAGGTTAGTCTACACTGCATAGATTCAACTGAGAAGCAAGTGGACAGACATTACAGAAATGCAGCCACATGCCTGCAGTAGCTCAGGCTAGAAGCTGGGGGCACTAGAACAAGCTTTCCCTTCCCTTTGGCAGTGGCCAGAAGCCTGGAGGGAAGCTGGGAGAGAAGCCTTCCAGGCTTTTCCCATTTCCTGAATGAGCTGCGGGTGTTGGCATGGCCAGGCCCCGGCAGATCCACTGAGCATGATTGGGAAGGGGGGCCCACCCTGGCCTACAGGGACTCCTCCCTCCCCTCTGCCTCAGCGTGCTGACCCGTGGCTGGTGGCTGGTGCCTGGCCATGCCCCATCCCCTCCACTCAAACAGGGGGCGGTGAAAAGCCTGGCAGGGGCTGCTGCACCCCTGGCAGACCCTGACTGAAGTATCAGGCAGGGGGACATTTAAAGACCCCTCTGCCTCATTCTGTCTGCCTGGCCTCAGGGTTTAGCTACCCCCTTTCTGCCACTTCAATGGTGGGTGGGGGAAAAGCCTGGCATGGGCTGCTCCACCCCCAACAGGCAGACCCCGCTGCACTCTGGAGCTAGGTTTCCCACCCCCACCCCTTTCTCAGTGCTCCAGCTGGTGAGCAGAGGAGTGGAGGCCGACCCTACTCTCTGGGCCTGACAGCACAGGACAGGCCAGGGCTGCAAAGCATGCTGGGATTTTGGGGGACTGTGAGTTAACTTGAACCAGGAAGGGGTCTGTGATAGAAGTTACATAAACTGGTGTGAACTAAATCAGTTAAGTCTGATGCTACATTCAACCAGGTTTACCTTAAACCAGTTCTGGTCATTTTGAAAGTGGTTATGTGCACTGAACTTCTGCTCTGTTACCAGTTTAAACCAGTTTCTGATCACTGAAACTAGTTTATGTGTAACTTCTGTCTCTAACCCAAGAGATAATGCAGAAACAGCAGCAGGCTGACACCACTGGTTGAATACCAGCAGTATTGTGAAGTTCATTTCCAAGTAACATTGTCCAAAAAAGTCAGTGTTTTTTTTTCAGAATCTCATATCGGATCCATCTACAATTACCTATTTCTAGGCTTCAGCAAGAACCTTGATAAAAAAGCATCTCATCAGTGAACCATCTTTTTAGCAGCATATGATAACTACATTCTGTAAATGATCACTTTGTTGTTGGTAGCAGTGACGATTTAGGAAATGTCTAAGAGGCCAGGATTTTCAATGTTATCATTTACTGGACCAACTGTATAGTTGGGAGAGCTGTTGGAAAAGGTTTTAGGCATCAAGTACCCTTCTACAGGTCTCAGGAAGGGCCTGAGGAACGGCGCTTGATGCCCAAAAGATATTACAGAAAATCCTTGCCACTTATAGAAGATTAACTTATTTATGGGTGAGTGGAAACATTCACTTTTTTTGCCGCTGAACCAAAATATCAGAAAAAGGGCCAATATGAATCAAGTAAAAATGTTTCTGTTTTTCTCATTGAAATGAAAAAATGAAACATTTCATTTCATTTTGAATTAAATATTTTATTTGACCTAAAACAAAACATTTGTTTTGGCAGCACATATAAGAAAAGTAACAGAAACGAAAGCTTATATTTAAGCTGATGGTAATACTGGTGCCACTGTCCCTTTTTTATCAAGTAACCTACTGGTTAGAGCATACACACTATGTATGACAGGTTCAACTCCTGTCTCTGCCTTGCAGGGATTTGAAGTTACATCTCCCTCCTCTCAGGAGAGTGCCTGAACAACTGTGCAGTAAGATATTCTGGGATGGAGTGGTCTTATTCTCACCTCCTGATGCTATTCCACTCTGAAAAAATAATTAAAATTCACCAGAGCAGAGACTGGAATCCAGGAGTCCCTCCCCCCTCCCAGGTCAGTGGCCAAACCACTTGGCTGATGAGCCATGTTCACGCTGTTCTTCAGTGGGTATTGACGGTTCCATGCTAAATGGAACAGATACCCTAGAAGGGATTGAAAGTATCCTACCCAAGAATGCACTACAGTCTGGTTGTTAGGACATTCTTTTGAGATGTGGGTGATGTGGCATAAAAATCCCTCGGGCAGTTGATGGAACCAGATTTCGGTTTCTTATGTCTTGGGTGAGTGCTCTAACCATGGAGCTATTGGGTAAAAAGCCATCACCCCCACAACTGTAAATCTAGCCCCCAAACTTTTTATTGAGTCAGATGTGCTTAGGGACTACACGAATAGTCCTGAGAGGACTGAAACGGCATTTTCAGGAAATAAATTATTTGCCTGAAAAAAAAAATCTCCACACTGTTCTATTCTTGATATTGATGACCCAATCTAATGTATAACAGTATGAAAGAAGGGTTTTTTTAAAAGCAATTAAGTACTGTGACTCCCCACCTCTCCTTGACTTCTGTGGAAGCTATAGGTGTATAGTAGCTCTGAAAATCAGCCACTGCTCACTCCTTTGGTCTTTTTCTCAGGTTGAAAACCTAGTGCACTGTAAAAAAGATCACATGTTCATTCAAAAATGCTACTGACACAGCCCCAGTGGTGACTGTGTAATGCAATGATTGAGGGATGATCCAGCAGTCAGAGTATTTCATAGATGACATACTCTGCATTTTTCCAAAAATTGGTGAACTTTTCCTCATAATAGTTTTGATCAGCAATTCTGGCAAGTAGTGCACACTTGGTAAGGAAAGACTTTTATCCTGTTTTCACTGAAGTGTTTTTAAGCAATATTTTACTAGGAAAGCAGACTTTTATGACCACAGCTTGCCACCTTGCATTTTAAAAGTGCTGTCTATTACAGACCACCATCTTCCTTTTTCAGAGGAGACACATTTAGACTTTCTATACTTTTCATTTTGGAAAAGTCAAATTATAAACCTGTGTGTTATCTATCCTTCCAGGGTATGGCCAAAGAAGAAACAGAACTGAGATTTCGGCAGTTGACAATGGAATATCAAGCTTTGCAACGGGCATATGCTCTGTTGCAAGAACAGGTCGGAGGAACATTGGATGCAGAACGAGAAGTTAAGGTCTAAATGGCTTATATTACATGAAAATAAAGGATTGTAATTGTAATTTTTCAAATTTAAATGCTCTATTGTTTTCATAACAGGCCAGTAGCTGCTACAAATCAGTGTATCTCCACTGATGCCCTAGAAGATTAAGTCCAGTTTAAACCAGTAGAAATATTACAGGCTGGCATTATTTTGATAGTCCTGTATTTAGAATATACTTTTAGATTTGTAAAGTGTCTTTTACCTGGATAGGTTCTGAAATGCTTTACAGTTCTAATGAAGCAATTCAATTACCTTACCTATACCTTAGAGTCATGTCACCCATCATTTAAATGCAGCTATCCTTAGGTCCAGACACAGCAATACTATAAAGCAGTTTAGGATAAGAGGTAAAGATAATGTTCCAAATACAATCAAAGCTAGAAATCACATTGATAGAATTAAAGACAGTACTGGAATTTGGGCCAGATTGCAGGATAGATTACATATTTAATTGTATGTGAGCAGTAGTTAAAAAAGAGAAGACTTTGCAACATTTTAAAGATTTTTTTTCCCTCAGCCCTCCCCCTTTAATCCCTCTTTATAATGTTGTTGGCTGTGAATTCCTAATGCATCTGCATTGCAATCTTAACTGCTGGGTTGTAATTTATGGTCTCTAAAAGCAGCTGGATTTCCATTCTCTTATATTAAAGTGCTGGATTGCTGAAGAAACCACAGTTATTGAATTTTAATTTTTTTTTTTAAACTCTGATCAGCTTAAAAGAATGTCAAGTGGAATATTTTATGGGAAATCCTTAAAATTAAGCTTTCTTTCTGTAAAACTCTGTTACCAATAGCCTTAATATGTAATACCCAGAATTTAAATGCCTGAGATTACATGATTTTGCATAACATTTCTGAAAGGCTTATAGTTTGTAAAGAAATTTATTTTCTTAATTGAATTTCAGAATATACTGTTCTGTTGTGCCTGTCTTCCTTGAATATCTCCTTATGAGAACAGTTTCCACTATCAATTGTATTATATAATGAAACACTTGCTTTTTACAATACAATTTTTTTATACATCATAAAATACTGAGAAAGCAACTTATTTGGACAAAGAACAAAATAATGCATGCTAATAAACTAAAGACTAAATTCCGCCCTAGCATCCACATAATGCAAACCCATTGAAGCTCGCTGATGGGGGTACAACTATGCCTAAAATGTAATATTTAAAAGATCAATACATTTCATTTTCCATTCAAGGAATTTTCATCCCATTTTAGGGAAATTTGGCAATGTCAACAACAGTTTTTTGAAAGATATAACAAGGTTCATATACATATTCCTTACAGCAGTGGAGAACAGGAGTTACTTGCCAAGTGATAAACAAGCCCTTGAACTAAATTAAAAACATATGGATTGCTCTAAATTGGCTTCCAACTGAATCAGTATTGTCACTTTAAGGATCAGGCCATGTAACTAATCTTTGATTTTGGTTTTTGTTTCTACCCTGTACTGAGAAAGTTAAACCAATGATTTAATAACTCCATAGCAGCCTCTACTGATGGATTTCTCTAATGTTCATGGAAATAAAAATTATCCCTTATTTCCTTGTTAATTACATTTAGAGATTGACATCATCAGAGTCTGTTTGAACACTGAATCAGTTCTAGAAATAACCTTGTAAGATTTGCCAGCTATCCACTTTGACATGGTAGAAGTTGTGAATGTTAAGAAAATGGTGATGAAACAAGAAATATCACCATCCAAAACCACAATGAGGGAACAACTCATCGTTACTCAAATAAAGAAGTAAAATTCATATGGGTAGTGCAAACAAATAAGATAATTTGGACTGAAAACAACATGATATTATGACAAACTGTCTCTGTGAGTGAGTGGAGAAACCTTTCTGACAGTGGAATTGGGGAAACAAAATGTGTAAAAATAGTTTATGCTCCTTCCTGCTGTTGCTGCTTTCGACACCACACTCAAAGGTTAATCATAGTCCCTTGTGCTCCTTAGAATGACCTACTGTTTCAAAAGACAATTTAATAAAACTCGGGCTAAACGAGAACTCTTTTTACAAAAGTGCTCTTAATGGGAAGTATGTTAAAAACAGAGACTATCTTACCAGCAAAGCCACTTCCAGTCAAGCAGTAGAGTCTCAGTTTGTCCTTGGGCAGTTTTCCTTTGGCTTTGAGAGGAAGTAGGCAGGACACATGGGGAAAAATTCCTTCTAGAGTTCTACCCTGAGCAAACTGGTAACTATTTTAAAATATAACTGAAAATACTTTTAAACTGCTATTTATTCTGTTCAGGACTCCCTGTTTCTCTTGAGAAATTTGATGGCATCATTAACACATTTGAATTTGTGGCTTTCTTTTTAAATGTATTATGGCATCAATTGAGCAGGAAACATTGAACCCTAAACTCCCAGACCTTGGCGTTAAAGCCAGAAGATGTGGCACTCTCCAATTAGCATCCATTAGCCTTTGTACTGGAAAACTATATGTAGTGTGATGAAAAAAGGCCAAATGGCTCCAAAATTAGGGCACAATTGTAGAAGCTATTTTTGAAATTTTGTGTCATCGTGCATATTGAACTCTTTTAAAGCAATTTGATACAAGTGCACCCCTCAACCTACTGATATTTATTTCCTCCCATTTTTTCTGGGGAGGCGACTTTCCACGTTCCTCCATTCGTTTTTTCCCCCAAACATCCTGTCTTGATAAAAGTAGGTAAGGGCACAATTCTCTGATCTCTGAGCAAGGGATGTATCAAATAGTCACGTGCATGAAGCAGTTAATTTTTTGCCAAGTGACTAATTAACTGGATGATGTTCTTTCCAATCTTACAGTTAAATCTTAAAATTATTCCATCCTACAATTTTACCTTTTAAAATTACTAATGAGTAATCCTAAATGTTTAGCTACAAATTCGTTCCCTTAAAGTTCATAATATTGATTTAAGTACATGATGTTTCAATATTTGCTGTATCTCCATTAGTATTTTGACTTTTAGAGAAAGTTTGATATATCTTTTCTCACATCCTACAGACGCGTGAGCAGCTCCAAGCAGAAATACATAGATCCCAGACTCAAATAGAAGACCTAGAGAAGGCACTTGCTGAGCAGGGACAGGTAACGTATTGTGAGAACTAGCTGTGCTACAAATTTTCAGCCAAAGAAAAATACAGTAGTGGGTTTTGTTAGACCCCAACTCCATGCAGCGCCCAACGATTAGGGAGACAATGATCCAATCGCTCATGGATCCTGCTACTCATTAGCCAGAGCAAGCAGGGAGCAAACACCAGCACACATTGCTCACAACAGCTTTATTCAGAATGGAGACAGCTTCAGGCGAGCTCCCTCACAAACACACAGCCCGTGAAACCAGGGGAACAGCCATCAATATTAGCTCTTTTCACATGTTATACACCTTGGTTCATACTCATTAACATTCACTCCACCTTCATCCCTCCTTTTGTTCCACCCATATCTCCTCCTATCTCAAGCTCCACCTCTGTTTACTGTTTACTTCATTAGCATGGGATTGCCTATGCATTTCACTCATTTACATGCCTCTGCTAAGAGCACGTGCTCAAGACTTTGACCCCGGCTTCCTCCGGTCACTTGCTAGGTCTTTCTGATTTCTTGCTGACTCCATCTTCATCTCCAAGGTCTTGCTTCTACTTTATCTCCTGATGATAGCTGGTGGGCTGCATCTTGTTCTTCTTACACCATATATTCTACACACTATCCCATTGTAAGGAAACTGCTTGCCCAAGCATTTACAATGTTACTTTTAATATAACATCCTGCCTTGTGACCAGCAGCTTTTGCTGAGACACAGATAAAAGCCTTTATTCTGCTGCAAATCCAGTGCTCCCCAAGATCTAAATACAGTCACCCTAACAGGTTTAATATTTTTTTATATAAAAACTATTGTCAAATCACATTTTATAACCATGTAAAACCACTTCTCTGACCTCAATTTTGAAAACATTTTCGCATAATATGTTTGACATATTTGCTATGCCAAAATAGATATCTGCATAGAGTTAAAAAGAATGAACCATAAACCTCAAAAACATCTCTCTTCAAATCAATAAAATACGTCCTTGTCTCTAAGATCTTTTTTATAGTTGCAGTGATTGTTGTTTTGTTAAGTGAAGAGATAAAGCAGATGTTAGATTGTAGAAGTAGTTGTTAGACATTTTAATATGAGAAGTGCACTCATGGTACTGGCTGTATATATTAGCTGGGAAAGAGATGGCAATCAATGTGTG